ATTGGTCGTACAAGTAGCCTTAACTACATACATATTAATTCTATGGCAACCATACTATTATAACATCTAGGTCTTCTCAACTGAATTGATTTTATTGATCGTTTCAATAAGTTTATAAATAAAACATACCCCATTACAGCGCCTGTGTTACGTCGTGATATGAGACTCATCTGCCATGGATTGTTAGAAAATAGCCAAACTTAAGAAGCCAACCTATAAATCTTAAGTTATATTAAGAGTCTTTTGTAGTCTCTCCCTCCTAATGACTCAATAATTTAATTAAGAAAATCGCAAGTCTTAGACAGAACTTAATTTGCTGGGCTTAACAAGTCTTAATAAATATTTATAGTAATCCCACCACCATCATACAAGCTAAGCGAATATTTGACAAATCCCTCACAATATTGCATTAAATATTTACCTAATTTCTGTTGGATCTTCCACTTAATAGCCAAAAGAGGATCTTTATGAAAAAAGCTACAAAGGGCTATTACTGCATAAAGAGGACATTATGAAAAGATTTGGTCAGTACAGTACAACAGTTACAGTTGGGTGCAAAAATACAGTTAGGATTTGGGTGAATGGAATATATTTTATGGTCACAAAGCCATTCAGATGAGGTATCTTGATCCTTCTTTTGTCAGCAGAAGGAATTCCTATGAATCCCTTTCATCTGGTATCACCAAATCTCACTGTAAACACTATGCCGTTTCAATCTGGAGAGAGAGAGAGGGAGAGGTTTTCAGATCAATCAAAATCAATCAAATCAAAGCAAAATTTCTTTCTTTTTTATAAGGTATTTACAGAGGTTGAGAGTCTCCTTTTTAGATAAACCTGTTTTAGGAGATGCCCGCTCTTTCGCAAAAAACTATCTGAAGCATCTGTAAACGCTCTTTGGGCAAGATCTCTTGGATAGAGTCACTGGGCCCAAAAAAAATGGGAAATGTGGCCGAACAACTACAAGTAGAGTTTTCTTAGCACGTGCTGAAATGAAGGCGTGATTATGAAAATGTAACTACATGGACTAAAATACGTTTAATTTTTCATTTGACTGTACTTTTACATCTCTAACCGCAATGCCTACCTTGAAAATGTTTGACAAAGAAAAGCAGTCGAAAATTCCTCTGTAAGTATAGGCAGAGGTATAGGTAATCTGCCTTGATGAACACTGGATATTATCTATTGCACACCTATTTCGTATTTATAAAATAAATTGTAAAAGAATGGTTTTCTTTACATACTTTTTAGAGCAATAAAAGATTTTAAAAAATATTAAAAAGTTTCTCTTAAGTAGTATTTTTTTCAGCCAAATTAAGGCCTCCCAAGGATTGCATGGATGCGAGCGGCGCAGGACCGGTCTTTGTGGAAATCCTTGGGGGAGGCCTTTGTTCAGCAGTGGACGTCTTTCAGCTGAACGAACGAACGAACGAACGAAGGATTTCCACAAAGACCGGCCCTGCGCTGCCCCCATCCAGGTAACTTCCCGCGACCTTCACCAGTTATCGCACCTTTACCAGTAAGTGCACTTCCGAGAGCTCAGCGAAAAGTTGGGCCACCCCCCCAACGCACGCCCTTTCAAGACAGGGGTGCGATTTATAGCGCGTACGCCCGAGGAATACCGGGTAGTGCAGCGCCACCTCGTCGAGGCGGCACGCCAAAACGCAGACCTTCACTGGTTCTGTTACGCGCTCCCGACAGAGCTCCCCACAAAAGTGGCCATCCGCGGACTCCCAGCAGACACCGACCCCGATGAGCTCAAAGCGGCACTGGACTCGCTGGGCTACCACGTCCAGCACGTGAGGCACATCCCCCCGAGGAGGGGCAGAGCTGGCTGCCTCTACCACGTGCAGCTGGACCACCTAGACCAGCAGGAGCTCTCCCGCCTCTATGCGGTGACCGAGCTCCTCTACATGCCAGGCATTGTCATCGAGGCCTGGCGAGGACGCAGCGGGCCTGCACAATGCCACCGCTGCCAGGCATTCGGCCACGCTTCCGCCGGCTGCCACCGCCCTCCAAGGTGCGTACGCTGCGGCGAGGGGCACATCGTCGCGGACTGCCCAGTGCCTCGCGACCTCCCTCCCAAATGCGCCAACTGCAGGGGCGCGCACTCGGCGAACGACCGCAGATGCCCCGCCTTCAAACAAGAGGCAAGAGCCAAGGGTGCGAAGACGCACCCCCCAGTACCGGACCGCCCACGCCCTCGCCCACCGCAGGCGGACACTCGTCCCCCCAGGACGTCCGAACGGCCCCCTAAGGCCAAGACTGCCCACCATGAGCGCCCAACCGCGGCGCACGAAGCGGCGGAACCCCCCCGCGCAGAGGGGCCACTCCGCCCACCACAACTACCGCACGGCACCCACCAACTGCCGACGCCCCACTACGGGACGCTGGCCCCCCCGGCGAACGGCCCCACGGACCGCACAGCCCAACTCCCGCCCCAACCCAAAAGGCGCAACAATAGGAGGCGTAGAAGGAAGCGCCACCAAACTACATCCCAGCCCCCCAAAAAGGGGCACGGAGAAGGCGAGCACGCGCCCGCACCGGCTCAACAGCCACCCCTGCTCCAAGGGGCTCAGAAGCCGAGGCCACCAGCTCTGGCACCAAACCCGCCTGCTGCCTTGCAGCGGCCCCCCCCTGGAGCATACCAAGAATGCTGCAGATGCGGTACATCCAACGGCAACCGCCAGCAGCACCTCACGGCCCTTTGGAGGCCACCCGCCCAGCTGGCGGGCACCCACGCACCTGCGCCCGACACGAGCGCAAGACCCCCGGACGCAAGCGCGCCCGTATGCGCCCGTCTCCCTTCCCAACTGCGGCCCAACAATGGCCGTCAGCGCCGCCTTCGCAGGCCTCAGGTGCGGAGCACCCAAACTCCCTTGCCCCCCTCCTACACATGATGATCCAGAACCAGAGGGTCATAATGTCCCTCCTAGCAGCCCTGGTGAACGGAGGAGACGTGAGGGGGGCAACGATCCAAGGGATGGAGGCCCCGTACCAACCACACCATCCATGCCACTAGACGGCCTACGTGTCCTGTACTGGAACCCGGGGGGCATCAGAAACAGGACACAGGAGCTCCGTCTTCTCGCCCAGTCGCAGGACCTGCACGTAATCCTCCTGGGCGAGACCATCCTAACCCCAGCGTACTCACTCAAGGTCCCGAACTCTCTATAATTGTCGTGTAACCCGAATCTGTATGTGTCGTGTAATGCGTGCTTTGTGCTTATTAGTGTGTAGTTACAAAATAAATTTATATAATTTTATAATGTTGTTTCGTATTGTCCTATCCTTAACTATAATCTATGGGGACGAGGAGCAGTTGCTCGCTTGCTGAGCAGCCGACTCCTGTCTTTTTTTGGTACATAATTTATTTCACCTAATCTAGTGTTAGTCGGGAGAGGATTGTGTTGTCCGTATCTGAAATAGGCGTCTCCAGGGGTCTCTAGATCCTCGATGTGCATTTCGTCAAGTCGGCGCAGCATGTCCTCATTCAGATCTTGTGCACGAAGGTGCCATGGATCCCAGTCTAGCATTTCCCNCCTGGTCGGCGATCTCAACGCCAAACACCCCGTATGGGGATCGCTCATGACGACCCCTGCGGGCGTTCGACTGCTGGAGATATGCTTGCGACTTGCGCGCCGGCCGTCGTCGAGTGCGGACGTGCGTGTCGATCGCTCCGCGGCCGCCGCGTGGGTGCTGGACCGCGTGGTTCGTGTTTTCCGCGGATTTCACCTGCTTTTCCGAGTTTTTCGCGAAGTTTCCGCGCTCCTGTGCTATGCGGGTGCCTATGTGTATGGATGCAGTGTGTGGAATCGGAAGTGCATGTGCCTGGGTGTCTATTCAACTGTGCCATTTGGATATTTCTGGGGAACCATGTCAGGGGGTGCAATGGTGCGAGGGGACGCGGTGTTTCATTATTATTGGTTTTAGTATTTGTACTTTTTACTGTGTTCTGAAATCTGAACCTTTTTCAGGCGATTTCTTATATGTGTTATTGGGTTGGGACAAGCCGCATGCGGACCGCGTGCGGACCGCGTGCGGTTTGACGTTTGACAGTGACATTGACACTAATTCGACACTGACGTTTGCGCCCGGTGTTGCCAGTGCTAATATATAGGCGTGTTCCACTTTGGAGTGTTTTTCCCAAGTCCGGCATTGCGCGCCCACGGCCCTGGGACTGCGCGTCTTCGCCAGTCAGCCCAAGGGAATATTTTTAACGCGCGGTCAAATTTGTCCGTGCGCGGACGAATCGTCTCCCGGCGACCAACATTAGAACATTCGTCTGCCGTGCGCGGACGAATCGTCTCCCGGCGACCGACTTAGGAAGATTCGCCATCTGTTGGAGGTCCGTGCATCATGTCTCGGNCCAGTAAGTAGTATTGCATAATAAGTAAATAGCATTTAGGTAACAAAAACCCATGTTTTATATTGTTTTATGTCACGTTAGAAACACGCAGGGTGCGTCAAGTAAACAGCACGGACCTTGGCACTGAAATGTGTCCGTGACCAATGTCATCGCTGTATTTATCGACTTATCATGAAAGTTTGTAATGCCGTAAGTTAGAAACTTTCGTAGAACTTTTGATAGAGCTTTCTAGCACCCTGTCAATCATTGAGCATAACTTCCTTCTAATAGCTTTCCAAAACTTATAATGGCAATTTTCCTTAAGGGAAATTTTAAACGAAATATCAAAACATTCGTGTTCCCGATATAGAGGAAAACAAAGAAATTGAAAGGAACATTTTGAAAATCCTTTTACAACTGTTTATTTTCGCAATTAAACCCATACAAAGCTTCGGGAACTTTAAGAAGTTTAACTTTGAGTTTCGAAATTGCCGCTGACGAAATCTTTGACACGTGAATCCAGCCCCTATTTTGTTTAGTTTCGTTAATACTTTGCTATGTCGAAAGACGGAACAGGTGGTTGCAGGGAAATCCCAAGGGCATATATATAGGAGGGATCCATCCCGAACCTCAGTGGTTGTCCGGGCGCGAATCGGTAAGGTCGTGCGTTCGCTCGGAGTGACTCTCATTCGCGAATTCTGTGCAGTTTCAAAGTTCTGTTTGGTTTTGAATTCCAGTGGATTTTTTGGTAGGTAAGTGTTTTAAATTACATTTGGAAGGGATAATGCAATATTTGAGAAAGTTTAGTAGATTTTTTGTGATGTTATAGAAAGTTGACAAAGTTTGTTGAGAGGGTTGAACTTCTATTTAGTTCAAACCTTACTTCTGAGATTTACCGAATTGGGTTAATTGCGGCTTTTTATTTTACCACTTTTAATTAGAAAAGTGAGACCGGTGGGCAGAGTATTAGAAGTTTGCGTCATTAATATAAACTTTGCAAATTTTTTATAGAAAATTGGCTTTATTAACATTAAGTAACTTTTTATGACTCAAAGTTTTCTTTATGAAGTTTAATCAGCTGAAGAACGTTGGGCAACCAACACAGAATAAGTATGAAAGTCATCAATTTAAAAAACATATAATAATTAGAAATATAAAATCTTTTTTATTCAAATTAATTAATGAGATATAATAATTACATAATTATAGGACTTACCATTATTTTAAGCCAGAAAGGTACTAGTTTCGATATCGAAATCGGCAATGAAATAATTATCAAAAAACTTCACTGTTCCAAATCAATCATTAGTCTCTTTAAAAAGTGCACATCTGGCTGCTATAAAATAGTTTCAGTCATAGTCAATCATGCAAAATAAGCTCTTACAGCCATTGTGTGGAACTAGAACACTAGAATAAGTGGAAAGTTTCCCGATTGCCAATTGCATACTCCATTTCGTTCCACAATCGAGTTCTATTAGTATTCAGGATTCAGAGCAAGTGTCCTATTTAGTTGCAGATGTACGCTTTGTTCCTATGTTCAGATTTCTTTTGTAAGGACATAATTTGAATGTACCATGTATTTTTTTTTCTGTTTTTCAATCCATATTCTTCTTTCTCTTCAAAATGGACATTATAGGTACAGTGGAGTATTTGAATTATAAAATTGCCTAGCTTGTACTGAATACATTTCTTTAAATTTTATCTCCTGTATAAAGAAAACGCTGACAAAAATATCTGAGTTCCATACGCTACTTATTGTTCAGGATTTTTTTCAGAAATGTCCAAATAATATAGTATTAAATCTTGGAGGTAACTGAACTCATAAAATTACAAAACATTGTGATACTCGTACTTATTATTATTATGTGCGTGTATCAACTTGATTTTTATTACCTAGGTACCTAGGTATAATAAGAAGGTAATGCCTGAAATTATATGATACAAAATTCATATTTCCTGCAAGCTAGGAAAGCTCTTGGGTGCGATTTTTACATAATTATACTGCTTCTGTATACAAACACTTATACATATTTATAGAATTGAACTAAGCAAAAAACATAAATAAAAAAAATCACTGGAAAAAATTAGCTTAAAACTTAGCCTATTCAAAATAATTATTCAAAAAACTATCTTCATATTATGTATACTATTAGGTAATATATTTGGTAATGGACAATACCGTTCTCGTGGTCCGATTGATTAAACTACAAAGGTTAATGCTCTCTGCCAATCAAGTTAATTATTAACTTTGAACTAGTAATCAGTAGGCCTCTGTTCGAGACGTTTCAGAAGTGTTTGGATTCATGTGTCAGCTGAAACTAGTAAATAAGCTTATGTGACCCGATTGGGTTACATAAGGGAACAGGTTATTAATTTCCGGGTCATTTTCCGGGATTGTAAAGGATAATTTATACGAGTGAGTGAGTGATACGAGTGTTTTTTATTTTAACCCTAAAATTATGCTTCTCTCTTTTGAGCTTAAATATGAAATGAATTTCTTAAGTGAGTCAGAATATTATGCTTAAAAATAAGTAGAGAGTTGATAAACTAAGTGGAAATGAAATCTGTTATCATGATTCCCATGTTGTGAAATAAGTAAAAATTCTTCGATGTCAATTTTCGGAAATATGTTTTAGCGTCACTGTATTATCAGTTAGATAATTTTTATTTAAATATTTCTTACTAGCTTTCCACCCGCGGCTTCGCCCGCGTGGAATTTTGTCTGTCACAGAAAAACTTTATCGCGCGCGTCCCTGTTTCAAAAACCGGGATAAAAACTATCCTATGTTCTTTCCCGGGACTCAAACTATCTCTATGCCAAATTTCATCAAAATCGGTTGCGAGGTTTAACCGGCAAAGCGTAACAGACAGACAGATAGACAGACAGACAGAGTTACTTTCGCATTTATAATATTAGTTGGGATGGAGAATTTGGCAGATTTTAATGCCCGTTTTCACCATCAATCCCTAATTTTTAAGTGACCCCTATGAAAACAAAATTCATATTACCTATGTGTTACCATGGGGGTCACTGTACCCTTTAACTGGTATAGAGAAAAATATTTTTCATTAGTTTTGAACCTTATGTTTTCTCAATAAGGTTCAAAATATGGTGGCAACAATTCTGCCACTAAGGTTTAAAAAATAGGGATTGATGGTGAAAACAAGCATAAGTCACCGGCCAGCCTGATTTTTGTTTACTTTATAGATATTTTATCTGAAACTTTATCAGAAACTTAGGAACTGATGATACTAGTTCTAGCAAGTCTACCTCCTGTCAATGAAGTAATTTCCATCGTCAGAGCATATTCATTTCCTGGTAACATTTCAGATAAGGTTCTTTAAGATCTAGATTAATATTAGATAAAGATTCCACTCATTGATATTCATAAGTTTTTCTCGACATTTTCAATAAAATATTCGATCAGTTTCACTTCAAAACTAAAATTATGTTATTACCTTTTAAAGTGCAATGTTCGATATTATACTCGTACATAGTTTTGTTTTTTTGGCTTAACCCGTTCGCGAACGTTATCGATTAGAGTAGGCGCACACCGTTGATTTTTCGTCGGCCGATAGTTTAGTCGGGCAGTTGATCAGTATGGGCGTGTATGGGAGTGCGCACACTTAGCCGATTCGATTTGGCCGATTATTCATACAATTTAAAATCGGGCACAACTATCGGCCAACTAAAAATCAACGGTGTGCGCCTACTCTAAGTTTCATTAGTATCAAGCCAATTAATTTTACCGGTTACCGGCCGCAAAAGGTTAAAATATTGTTAAAATTTTCGTTCAATTATTTATTGGGAAGATAACCCGACGCGTGACTTGTATACAAACTCATAGTGAAAAATCCAATGTTCTTTCTCTATTTACGAGTATGTTTCATCTATGCTCCTTATTTTCTTGGGGATAAAGTTTTTTCTATTAGAACAATCCTTTTTATTGAATTCTCTTGAATCATAAATATTAATAAGCTGTAACATTCAATCTTAAATTGTAAATGACCTGCCTTCTAGGTACGTGAGTGAAATTGCCTGCCTGTATAGTTGGGTTTACGCTATACCTAAGTGATTCGTATTTCTTACAAATAGCGATATATCTTTTTTCCAAATAATTTTCACATGATGGAATTCTCTAGTAAGTATAGCCCCGTCTCGAAAAACGTTCAAAGCTAAAGTTGAATTGTGTTTGCGTTTACGATCATACGGGGTGAACACAGGTTTGTAAAAAATATCAGTGCGATTATTTATAGTGTGGGCTGGTGAGTTATAAGTAATTATTCATTCTTATAATTATACTGTGGGTTGTAATAACTGCACAACAACCTAGTTTCAGAATTCTGATACCTAAACAATGGCTGAAAAATTAAATTTATACAAGCTTACATTTAAGCTTTTTTTCAATTGATTTCATGTGAGAGAAAATCTTCCTAAATTAGATGTCAATAGAAACTATTAATTGTGATTTTAGTTTGGAAGTAATTTCATACCTTGATCTAAAACTTGAATGTTTTTCTGGGAGTCACAATCTATCTGAGAACAAATTCCACCAATGCAGCTGCAGTTCCAAAGTCAATAACCAAGCTCTACCAACTATTCCTTACGCCCTGTATTTGAGCCAACGATCATTTATGATTCGTTTTTTCTTTGCCGCGAATGGTAAGGCGGGATAAACCGCTTTTGTAGATTCAAGTTTGCCGTCCCTTGTAAGCCATTTTCGCCATTTTAAGGCTCCATGTAAAAAAGATAACTCCAAATGCCTATTGAGAGGGAAAATAAATTCGGTTTTTAGATTACATAATTTATCTGCGCCTGTAGACTATGTAAAAATTATCATTGATTTGGTTTGATTTATTTTTTCTTCAGCGGTAGAGATAATAGTCTTATTAGGAGTATAGTAATTAGTGTCTAATAAATATTTCGTTAAATATAACGGATATGACAATATAGTCACTGGTTCTATTGTAGGTGCATTTATAGGCATAAAAGACAAGGCCACCAAAATTTAACCGTTACTTTAATGTTAACCGTTGTATTTTATATGGACTTTGACAGATTTATGACGTTTGTCAAAGTCAAAGTAAAATGCTACTTCCTGAAGGTAAACTTCAATGGTTTAAAATATAGAGCTAGCATATATTTGCAGTATCACAGAATACTTTTAGCGCAGTGTCTCCATAAATAATTGTAGCGGTATCTCTGAAAGCTTCTGTTTTAGCCAATAACGGCAATGTTATTTTTGTTCTACTAAAATGGTTTATTTTGTGATCGTTTCACATTCTTGGGAAAAGCAGAATAATTCGATCATCGTCATCATCATCATTTCAGCCACAGGACGTCCACTGCTGAACATAGGCCTCCCCCAATGACTTCCACATCGCACGGTTGATAGCAGCCTGCATCCAGCGCCTTCCTGCTACCTTTATTAGGTCGTCGGTCCACCTTGTGGGTGGACGTCTCACGCTGCGTTTTCCGGTACGTGGCCTCCATTCCAGAACCTTGCTGCCTCATCGGCCGTCAGTTCTGCATACTATGTGCCCTGCCCACTGCCACTTCAGCTTGCTAATCCGTCGGGCTGTCAGCGACTTTAGTTCGTTTACGGATCTCCTCATTTCTGATTCGATCTCGTAAAGAAAGACCGATATTCGATAAACCTGAATAATTTACGATTTCCCTAGATACCTACATGCTAAATACAAACGTGTCTGTCTAGTCTTTTATTTAATCTATTATTAAGATCTCTA